AGAGAGAGAGAGAGAGAGAGAGAAACGGGAGCGGGCGTGTTGTACGACATCCGCAAGCGAGCTAAACCCGAAGAGCCGCGCGCGGAAATTTTCCGTCCCAAACAACATTGTTCTGTTTAAAATCCGTTCAAAAAATTACTCTTCAGTAGAGATATGTCTTGGTTTTTTGCGCTGCATGTTCTGGCTGCTTGCATCGTCACATGCTGGTGACGACGGGACTGGTGGCGTGACAGGTGTGACGGGGACTGGGGAGACTTGTGACTACAGCCGCCTCAATGGCACCAACATTGACTCTGCTCCGCTATCCGCCCTCCTAGTGGAGTAAAGGGGGTAAGGAGGTGGTTCAACCCCCCCCCCTCCTCCCCAATCCTCTTCGGTCCCAATCCTCGCCCCCTAACCCCATGCATTATGTATGCGAAGGCGCTAAGATGCGACTACTCAGCTGCACCCCCGCCCCTTCGAGTGGTTAGACGCGGCCGCCGCTGCCCGCTGGGGGGCGGGGGAGGCTGCTAAGGGCCGTGAGGGTCTTGGTCTTCCTCTTCCCCTTCCCCCTCCCCCCTAAAACCCTCCTCTAACCTACTTGCGCGCCCTGTGGACGGCCGGAGCAACACGTAAAGTGCTCTGCGATTTGCATAAGGCCAGTTCGGTCAGTCAGTCATAAAAAGGAGAGCCAGACGCCTTCCTGCACCCCCACCCTTCCTCCATCTCTCTCCCTCTGCCTTTCTCCCCCTCGCTCTCTCTCTCTTTCCCCACTTCCCCGACCCGTCGACCGATGCTCAACTGCGCGCCGCCCGACTGGGGCGTTCCTCCCTCTTGCCTTCGCACCATTCAGTCAACAGCGGGAGCGGAAGAGAGGGGAGGAGATGAGGGAGAGAGAGATAGAGAGAGCCTGGGCTCGCGATGACTGCTCTCCCTTCTCCCTCACGGTGGCATGCGTCCACCTCATCAATAAAACAGCCGTGTGCTTGGCTCCGCGGGCTCTGCAGGCTCCGCAGGCTCGGCATGCCCCGGGCAGACCTCGCTCCACCGCTCCTCCTCTTTTCCTCGATGAGGCGTGGGTTCCGCCGTGCCCGCAGTGCGGCCCTGCTCGTCTCGGACCCGAGCCCCAAAAATAGTTCGGTTTAACGGGAACATTTTCCATGATTCGTGTTAGTATGCAAACTGTATAAA